ATCACTTCCGGCATTCAGGGGCCGAGAAGAGATCAAAGGGAGCTCGTGTACTTAACTCCCTTTGATCTCCATTGACAGCATTACTGTGCTGCACAGGCACACCAGGCACAGCAGGTCTCGGGACCGGCAGCGGAGGTACGGGGGGCGCACACCCGCTAGTACAAGCGATCGGGCGTCTCTAGAGACGCCCGATCGCTTGGATGTAAACAGCTATCGCTGGCTGTTTACATGCTGACAGTTTCCCCACTCGTGTGTGCGCTGGGCACCGCGCACGAGCTGGGGAGAGGCAGGACGTCTTAAGATGCCCTCCCGCTCCTATAAGGCTCCCGTTCGGCCATGCAGGAACGGCCATGGACGGAAGGTGGTTAAAACCTAACTCCTGACACCAGTTTTCTTTTGGTTTAAGAATATAGTTGGGGGGGGCGTGGTTTGATGGCCGTCTGAACCAGCCGCACATTCTAGGAGCTCCGCCGGGACCATCTAAATCTGCAGCCTAGCAGCCACATCAGACAGCCGACATGGGCAAATATGGACCCCGCCGGTCCTTCAAATCCCAGCCGTCGCAGAAAATGAAAAAAACACCCGTCAAAAACGATTAAATCGTTCTTTGACGCGAGCGATGCACAGGGGACCCAGGCACACAAGATGGCGCCGCCGGAACACCGGACTCCTCGTGGAGCGCTGAATGCTGAGACACACTCCCAGCACACGCAAGAGGGATCAGACCTGTCGCGGTCTCCATCCACGGACTCATCCGGATCCCCGAGGTCACAGCGGGATGTGTCCCCCTCGGGGCGCCAAGAATCGGGAGGTGATTCAGAGGACGGAGTGAGTACCTGGGCGGGAGAGGGGAGAGATGCAGTGAGGCCTTCACCTACCCACATAGGGGTCGAAAGACCACCCAAGCTCACTCACCTGGGAGGTGGGGCGGAAGACATCATGATGAGCCCAGAAGACGCGATACCGCTCCTGGGTACCCCCCCAATTTCGTCCCCTACTTCCTGGGCCCTTCCTCCTGGGCTCCAGTAAACAACATCCCCCAATCCATCAGAGCCCATACCTGGCCTTACAAGACCATCACAGCTCTCCACTTATGACGCCACAGCGCCACCTAGCGGCCACAAAGAGCCAAGCACCAAAGCAGACTATTCCTTTGCAAACAACACAAAAGCAAGCCATTCCAGAGATACCGGCTCCTCGCTATAATAAAGAAACAACAGATGCCCAATCTTTTTCAGACCCTGATGAAGAAGAATACTCTTCTTGGAGGGAATACATTAAACACATCCCCACAAAAAAAGACTTCAAGCTCCTAATACAAGAAGTCAGGACAACATGTAAAACCGAAATACAATCTCTTCGCGATGACTTCCAGCAACTAGCCCAACAGGTGACGGAAGTAGAAGAAGACCTTTCAGACAACTAAAATGGTGGTCCATAAGATACAAGCTCAACATGTTGAGCACTCTTTTGAAATCCGGGAGTTACAACGCAGAGTGGAAGACCTTGATAATAGAGGTAGGCGAAATAACCTGAGAATCAAAGGGCTTCCAGAAGCAGACGGGCCAGAAGATCTCCACGCCAAATTACAAACGCTATTCAATATCGTGCTTGGGGCTCCAACATCGCAAAAAGTGGAGTTGGACCGGGCACACAGAGCGTTGCGCCCCAGAGGCTCATCCTCTATGCCGCGAGACGTCATATGCAGACTTCATTACTCTCCGATAAAAGAAGAAATACTGCGGAAGGCCCGCAATCTGCCGGACATAAACTTTGAGGGGGCCCCTCTCCAGATATACCAAGATCTCTCGTGGTATACATTGCAACAACGAAGTTTACTACAGCCTCTACTAACACTGCTACGAGATAACAATATCCCATATCGCTGGGGATATCCGTTTAGTCTTACCGCCCGGAGAGACGGAAAAAGCGCCACCTTAAAGGTTACAGAGGACTTACCCACTTTCTGCGCTGATCTTCGACTGGGCTGCCCAGTCCTGACAGGATGGGACCCATTGCCCAAATTGGGTCAAGAACCTACTACCTGGCAAAGGGTTACCCCTGGGAAACAGAATGTCTGAAAGGATGTGACTACAACTACTCCCTTTCGCAGACCACCACGTCCTAGGGAGGCCTCCACTCCGAGACGCCCACGTTGAGGCCAGTGATCCCCCTCAACCGGGCTGCTTTGCTCAGTAGACTTTTTGTATTCTATGGCGCTACGTTGAGTGAGGCTTCCTCCTTTAAACACCCCTCATGGAGCAGAATGGATTTTAGACCCAAGTGGGACAATGACTTTGGCCATTTACCTAACTGGGACTATCTAACTGACCCGAGAGGACACTGGGCAATTGCTTGGAGAACTGTCAACCGTGGTCTCTGCTAAGGGGTTAGGGACCTGTCGTTCACTTGATTGCCATATACTGGCTGTTAGGCTGCAACTCATTAGCACTTTTCTAGAGCGGTTCCGGGACCGGACGCCTAGAAAACTGGTTCTTTTTGAAATTGTAATCTATTGGGTGCTAGTAAAACATCGGATTGGAGTTTTCCATCACTTCCCCCCCCCCCACCTTGATTACATAGTGGGAATTAAGAGATATTATATTCTTCAAAGCTATTAGTAGATGACAAGTGTTTGCTAATGATCTTGGGAGATGGTAATATTCCCACCAACTGGAGTTTATTTCAACATAGTTTATGCATATGCTTCAAGGGAGGTCATTAACCTCTCGTGGTTAGTCCTTATGACTGGTTTTTCTAATGATGTTTATTTCACTTTTAGAATGAATCTACTCAGTTTCTTTCTTTTTCATTTTCTACTGACACACCAGCGCTTCCAGGACCCAGTTTTCTTCTACTTCACTCGACGCAACAGACGCCAGGTTAGTTCCTTGTACCCTTTCTTCCAGGGATGGACACACACATTAGCCCATCATATCAGCTCCCACCCTCAACTAACCCAAAACAATGGATCCTACTGATATTAAATTATTCTCCCTTAATGTTAAGGGATTGAATTCCCCCTTTAAACGCAATATAGCATACAGGGAACTTAGGAGTGCTAATCCAGATGTTGTTTTTCTACAGGAGACGCACTTTACCCCACAAAATACATTTAAGTTTATGCTTTCCCTTTACCCTAGAGCATACGCAGCCTCTCACACTAATAAAAAAGCGGGGGTGGTAATCTTACTAAAAGACACATGCTCTTTCCTACCCAACCTGGTCCAAACGGATAAAGGGGGTAGGTATGTAATCCTCCATGGAGATTGGCAAGGTATACCAACTACTCTGTGCAACGTATATGCCCCAAACTCAGGACAGATCTGTTTCCTCACTTAAACGTTAAATAAAATCACTGCTCTAGACCATATATACCTTATAATTGGGGGTGACTTTAACCTACCATACTCAAATGCCATAGACCACATGGGTTCACTGGGAAAGAGAGCCCCAAAGGCCACGGAATGTAACTCGCGACACTTCCGTCGACTACTAAGATGACACTCCTTGCTAGATTCTTGGCGTGTGCTCCACCCTTCGGAGAAACGCTTCACTTTCTATTCCCAGGTTCACCACACGCACACAAGAATAGATTATTTTCTAGTGAATACCCCAGTCCTGAGAAACGTGAAATCGGCAGAAGTGGGGGTAATCTCATGGTCGGATCATGCGCCAATCGATATGACGCTGAGATTGGAACCCACTCGGATCAAAAACTGTCATTGGAGATTAAACGACAGTCTGCTTAAAGATGAGATTCCAAGGCAGGATATAATGAAGGCCATTTATCGAACTAAATGAAGGCACGGTATCTCAAACTTCAGTACTGTGGGTGGCCCATAAGGCCACTATTCGAGGTCATTGTATAGCATTGGCGTCTAAAATTAAAAAAGACAGGGTGGCCACCACAGTACGTTTGAAGAAGGAGATAATTGACCTGGAACGAAATTTAGCAGTGACAACTTCCAAACCACTTCTACGTGAACTGGTCCAAACTAGAACGCGCCTGCGGCACTTGTTGACGCATAAGGTTGAAATGTCTATGACTCATTTAAGGCAACGGTACTATGAAAGGGGGGACAAGGCGCACACCCTATTGGCCCGAAAGTTACATAGTATTTGAGGTTGAATAAAGACATCAGTCCATCAAGTCCAACCTATTAGGATCTCATTCTAGGAGTACCTGTACCCCTGTATATTACGGTCCCTTAAGAAATCGTCCAAAAGTTTCTTTAACAATTCCACATTATTTGCTGAAATCACTCTCTGTGGCAGTGAGTTCCAGACCCTAACTGATCTTACTGTGAAGAACCCCCTTCGCCCCTTGTGCTGGAATTTTTTTTCCACCAATTTTAGGTGGTGGCCTCTAGTTTTTGTAATGGAGTTAATTTTAAACAGTTTATCGCTAATGTTGCTACCACCATTGAACATTTTGTACATGGAGATCATATCCCCCCTTAATCTCCTCACCTCCAATGTGAACATGTTTAAATTTAGTAGCCTTGTCTCATAGCTCTGGTCCTCCATACCCCTAATTAGTTTGGTTGCCCTCCGCTGGACTTTTTCCA